GTAATAATATATAAACGGTGCAATAATATATGAAGTCTAATAATAATATCAGCAAAAACAAGAAGCTTGCCAACCAGCGCATGCGCAAATTTGAGCGTTGTCGCTACAAGCCCGATGACATCATTGTCAATGTTAATCTTCCTGTAATAGATGATGATTCGTTTAGTGTCAAAAATCACTTTGTGTATCACACTTACTATAAAGGGATCAGTATTTGTTAAATATATAGAAAGTGGTTATCGGTAATCGCAGTCCCTTGTAAGTACAATCAGACGTTAAATTAGCATAATCAAACGTTCCGGGCAATGACCTTTTTTTAGTGGTATCTGAATATGTAGTGAACAGATAATAGCAGACAACAGCCCACACTCTATTAACATGAAGATTACATTAACATAATAATTCATAATGTCATGTTCCCTTGATTGAACAAACATGTAAAAATGATTAATTTTTCTAATATATACCGTATATGTTCAGAAAAACGTTCTCCTGGACGTACTGTAGAAATGTTTTTTATATATGCTCTCATTTTCAGGGGGCCTATACTTTATAGAATTGATTATACGTAATACAATATATCATATTATACAGCTGTCGATTAATGTTATAGCCTTAAACGGTGTAAAACATGTGTAGCCGGTGCGGTGTTTGACGGCCTGGTTAACCGTACTGTATTAATATATATATACTCTCATTGATTAGCGAATAAATCATGATTATCGTTACAACTGGTTTTTTAGTGATTTTTTTAGCAGTCAGTGATACGTATTGTGTGCCAGTTTTAAAAATGTCCTTCGGAACTGCTATAGTTCATTTGTTCTTAGTGGCAATTGTTTCATGTTTGCAGTATTGGGTGACGTCAAGCCTCCGATGTATTAAGTGGCAATTTTGCTCTCCATCGCGAGTTCGTTGGTAGCTTAGGGTTTAGTGTAGACCTGACGACGCCAGTCAATTTCCATGCACCCCGTTTATGTCAAGAATAGTTCGATGTCTTTTAAGCGAATATTTAATACTGGTTGGAACAATGCATTATCGTCAAGAAAGTAACCATATAGAAACATTATTTAACATTATTCGTTTAAAGAATTGCAAGACACCTTTTGCAACATAGATTTGTCTAAAATGGGAATGGCCACTAACCAGTGCCAGTGCCAGGTTATAGTCAAAACACACGCTGCCAGCCAATTCGTGATTAAGCTTTCTAGCCTATTACGCGATTGCATTAAACAGTTAACCAGAAACAGACATCTATTTCAGTCCCATGGGCCCCACTCGTGATAAAGACATACAACAATGCGAATATATTCCCAGATCCAGTTGTTTCTGATATGTGCTGTAAACAACCACATACTCGTCATACATGATACTATTTGAAAATTAATATATCGGGGAAACATGGCAAAAATAAGCCTCATTGAAAGTATATTTGCGAAATTTCAAGTCAACATTTTGCATCATACACACACATTCACTGTTATTTCTAAAATAAAGAACCTTGCAATGCCAATTTCAGTTGTACTTAGAACGTTCACGAGCAAACGCCATGGGAAAACACGCTGACAGGAAATTTTAAGTACTCATCGGGAGGTCACGATAAAAGGACTTTCCGAAAAAAAACGGTCTAATATTAATGACGTTATTTAACGAGGAACAAAGTGTGTATTTTCTTGGGAATACTGTACTAATTACAATAACTAGACAAATATCTCATCTTTGCACTCGGTATCATTTACCATGACTATGTTAAACACTTTGATGAATAACAATTATGGAATGAAGTCTCGCGTGATAAATTAAGTGTCCAACATCTACAGCGGTTGATTAATGAATAAATACCAAAACAAAAAATACAACCGAGAACTGATAAGAGAACGTGCGTGAACTGCCTGTGTTTTTTTGTTATTAACTGTCAAGTACCGTCTCAAACTTGGCGCGCGTGATAACAACAGTTTCCACAATAGGCACGCCCAAGAAATTTTCACGCTATGTTGATCTCCGTTGCATCACCGTTTCGTTATTAATGATACTATTTTATCACGATCATTGATGCAAACTTTAAATACACAAATAGCTAGCGTGATGTGCATACATAATTCATGCGACAATAACACGTGAATACGCGAATATTTATATACGTCATTTAATTTATCTCAGTAACTCCGTAAATCAACTTGTTTGTGTCTTTTGGAGTTACTCACATTGCAAAGTCCCAGCAATGAACATGAAAATATGTATTAATATACGCTCAAGTACGGCCTACCATCAATATATTATACATAAGTTGTACACGTACTTATGAAAATCTAGACAAATGTATTTCTCTTAAGCCTGAATTGTTTATTTTCATATGCTTTACGTACATATATAAATGTATTGAGATTCATTCAATCGCTAGACGACGTATACAAAATGCTACACGAATGATTATATCGTTGTGCATAACAGTGAATTGGAAGCATGACCACTGAAGCGATGCTATTTCGCAATTAATATACACAGATGTGTGGGATTCGGCTGATTCAACACAATACTACAAGGTCAAATTAAAATATATTGACCATGTCTGGTGTCTTATTTCCACCTATGCAAATGAAATACAATGCAATAAAATGTACGAAAGTAGTATATATATATATTTATTGTAGCTTAAATACAACACTGAGAATAATTATTTTGGAAATTGAACGAAAACAAGGCACTATACTAACTCGATAGTTTAAATGAATGTTCGTGGAACTTTTGATAACACCAATTTCCTCGGATCCCGTGTAGGCCTGTCACTAAAATATAATTCACAGATGCGATGAAGATTTTCCTAACTTTACTCATGACAAGAGTGACCCAAAACTGTGTAGGCGCTCATTGTATGCATACGATTTCACATCCCAAATATGTTAGGAAAACAATTGTGCACGATTCAATGGATGTAATAGATAACATTCGAAAGAAAACGCACAGCGGTCTGACAAAACAGTCAGCTCTTTTTCCCATTACCAGATTTAAGCGCATCTCGAGTTCTGCCACGCTACCACTACGTTAGGTCTTTCCGTTGCAGTCAGTGAACAGTTATTCTCTTCGGTCGCTACTACTTTCAGTCTACAGCGGTAAATGCTGGCGTACGCATGACGGAAGTCCTTCTTATATGCGTATAAGAGAGGGTTAATTGCGGAGTTTGAGAAGCCTAACCACAAACTAATCTCAAGGACATCGGGTGAAAGGCAACTACATAAAGAGTTCGCCAAAAGTGAAACGAAAAATGGCGTCCATAAACATAAAAAAACAATTGTTATTAAAACCATTGTTTTAATGACTTTGATTTCTCCTGGCTGTAAAAAACGACTTTTTTGTCCATCCTCGTTTTCGAAGTCGTTGAGGTCGTTTCTTGTACTGAGTCTCGTGCGGCGAATCTGATTCCGCAATATTTTGAAAATATAACAATTTGAATAAAGAATTATACCGAACGGTATAACATTCAAACACGCACCGAAGAGAATGTAATGCCATAACGGCGCAAAGCACAGCGGAAACAGTTGCGCCTCTCTCATACTTGTATATTCGTTTATTCTTGTAAGCGATGGTGCAACTCCAAACAACATGGGTATCATCCACGTAACAGCAATGGCGACACCGATACGACGCGGCGTTACAGTGGTGTAATAGTGCAGAGGGATTTTAATGAATAGGTACTTGTCCAAGCAAAGAAACATTGCACTCAATATGGACGTGTGTACAAAGACTATCAGAGTACCTTGATATAAACTACAAAACGTGAATCCTAATGTCCACTTCCCGTTCCATTTATACAAGACCGCAAAGGGTAGTGCCAGGATCCCGAGAAGCAGGTCCGTTAAAGACATATTGAAGATGAAGACGTTCGCTTGCGAACTTCTGATCTTAGGAAACACGGCAAATGCTAATATTACGATGACGTTGTTCATCACTACGAAGAATGTAATGATTCCTTGCAGTATCAACCAGTGAATAGCCGCCTGTTCTAAGTCAGTTGTCGGGTTGTTTGGATCGCAATCTGTGCCGTTTGCCGCCATGTTCGGAAGTTTTTGCAGCCGCTATGGTCGGTTTTGTACGACTCGAGCGTATGGTAGATCTTCGTTCATTTGAGGATGGTTACCGATATCCGAAGATCTTGTTAGCTGCGTGTTTTTTATCGTTCATACATGAGTAGAAATACACAGTGCAGAAAACTTGTCATCGGTTCGTACCGAAGCGCATAAAACAGTTGCGCCGATCTACCCACGTTATAAATTGGCGTAACGAAGAACCAAAAAGCTGTACATGATGATTTTGCTACCTTTCTATTAACAGATAATAGTTAACGCAAGTTGGATAATTTGCCGCAAGCTATTCGAAAATTCTGCTTATTGTACGTGCAAGATATTGCTGGCGTCATTCTGTCTGGGCCAATTGCAACGGAGCATGTGACTTAGATCATTTTGACAATCCGTTCGCATTAAACACCATGAATAAGCTCGAAGGTATTATATTTTCAGTCTAGAGAGGTTAACCTCCACCCAATTAGGTGTTAGATAATAATTTCCCAACGTATGCACGTATATCTGTGACTCTAGTAAGTATATTGCATTATTGAAATATACAACTTGAAAATGGGCCGGAAAAATAATAAGAGAATTGAGAGTATAAACGACACATTAACTGTGTAATTAACTAAGCGCTCTATCTAATACGCAATATTTGTCCAACATATAATAATCTAAGTCAAAAAATCGTCCGCGACGCGTCCTGTGTGGCGCAGGTAAAACACGTTGTTAAGGTATAAGCCTACTAACATTTTAATTGGTTATAAATCGCATGACAATGTTGCAGTGTCGTATTTTGAGAAACTAGTCCTAATAATTTTCAAAAATCGCTATTTCAAATCGCTAACAATTCCATAGAGCATTCCATTTTTAAAAAAATAGCATTTTCGACACTTTTTAAACCCAATTTTTGAAATAATTCAGGAAAATCAAAAATACCCCATCATTAACAATATATTATTCTTTTAGCCTATGTTGCTAGATTTTAATTTGAGATACTAGTATGGCATAATATCTCTGCCACAGGAACCTATGGTAAAAGTAATATAATACTGCCAATATGGCCACTATTCACTAAAATACAACCATCATTTTCTCGAAAATTATGCTGGGGACCCCTAACTTTTTTAAGTCAATATTCTTATATTACCCGGAAGTACAATCTGCTAATCTGTACAATCTATGAACAGTGTATTAGGTAAAACACACGAACAAACATACACACTGCCATGAA